TGTAGAACTGTCCTGCTCTCCAAGAAAGGCATAACCACAACGACCAGAGGACTGGACCTTAGTGTGATTATCAATGCTGGTGGCTTCTTGGCCCCGTTTTTTTTTTTTGATAACTCAGGTGTCCAAACTTCGCCTGACTAATCCTGAGGAGTGGTGGCCTTCCCCCTGGTCGCCACCTAGGTAAATTGGCTTCTTGACTTTGATAATTGGTAACTTGGTTATACTTTGGCGTTCAAAAACCAAAGCTTATTAAACCGAGAGAGAAATTCATCCAGCAAAATGGCGGTTAACTATTGAAGTTGTGATTTTCTTCAAATGAGGGTAGTTTGGAATCAGCGCAGAAGAACTGGAACACGCAACAAATAATTGCACTGATAATTGACGAGTGCATTTTACTCACGATTTTAATCCAATTTTAACTTGATTGGAAGCTAGATTTTACGAGTATTGAATGTTTTTAATGTATTTGTAATGTTGTGTTATAGGTTTATCAAGATGGTGAAGGGTGTGAAAAAGTTGTGGATAAAGGGGTAAAATAGGCAAAGCATAAGTGTTGGATGGATGGCACCAAGGCGCCAAAGATAAAATAGAAAACAGAGTACGAGCACCGCAATGCCACATTGAGGGCACTGTGGCGCCCAACACTGATTGTGCCTCGGCGACGGGAGCTCCAGAGAGGCAGCGCCCCCAACCAGACGCGGCGCCTCCACTGGGCACAATTCCGTCTCATTTTTAAACTCCAGAGAGAACCCTATTCTCTATACACGGCAAGGGACCTATAAATACAAAAATTCTCACACTTTTAGGGGATTCAAACATTGAAAGGCAAGAAAACACCATTGGAGAATCGAAAGAAGATTTCAAGGAAGAAAAACATCGAGAAATTCATTACGTGGAGCATCAATTGGAAGAGGAAGAGATTCTTAGTGCAAATCTCAAAGGGTGTTTTTCCTTTTAGGAAAAGTGTCGGTGTTCTGTTGATGAGATATGTAGCAGTTAAAATGGCATCTCCCCAGAACTTTTTGGGAAGATTGGCTTCAAATAGCAAAGCTCGGGCCACGTTTAGCAGGTGATGATGTTTTCGCTCCACTATTCTATTTTGTTGTGGAGTAGAGACACAACTGGTTAGATTAATGATCCCTTTATCTAAATAAAATTTTCTCATTGTAAATTCAGGACCATTATCACTACGAAGAATTTTGACTTTCAAGGAAAATTGTGTCTCAATTAAATTGATGAATGAGGTTATGTATTTAGAAGCGTCAGATTTATGATTCATCAAATAAACCCATGTACATCGAGTGTAATCAACCACAGTAGAAAGAAAATATTGTGCCCAATTGATTGAAGGAACATGGTATCCTCCCCAAATATCAACATGAATTAATTCAAAAGGTGCATGAGCATGAATTGAACTTAATGGAAATTTGGAATGAGTTTGTTTGGTTAATGGGCAAATTAAACAATCAGAAACATCATGAAATTTTATTTTTGTATCTAAATGGGAAAGTAAACATAGACTCTTATTTGAAAGGTGACCAAGGCGTTTATGCCAAAGTTGACAGGTTGTTGAGGTAGCTGAGTTGCATCTGGCTTTCTGCGTAGTATCAAGGTAGTAAAGTCTTCCTCGTTCAATTCCCATCCCAATCATCTTCCCCGATCGTTGGTCCTGTAACATACAAGTATTCTTAGTAAATGTGTCAAGATAATGGGAATTGCAAACAAGTTTGCTAATAGAGATGAGATTTAATTTGAAGGAATGAATACAAAGCACATCATGTAATGTAAAATCAGCCACATGAATGCTGCCTATGTGTGTGACAGTCGCTAGTTTTCCATTAGGGAGATATACAGTTCGATCAGTAACACAAGATTTTGTGGTTAATAAGTCAGCAGAGCAAACCATGTGATTGGTAGCTCCTGTGTCAAGTATCCAACGAATTTCTTGACCAATAATGGGAGCACAGAAGGTTATACCTGAGAGATCACTTATAGCAGATGTACTACTAACATGATCAACCATAAAAGGATCATTTGAATTGTCGTATCCGTTGGCCTCAGGCTTGGCTGAGTTTTGGATCAATTGACTGTCATTTTTTGCCATGTTCGGCCTTTGCTGTGATTGGGAAGGGAAAGGAAATAAGGCTCAGAATTGTTCTGGCTCTGATACCATGAAAAGGAAAATAATTCTTGTATATTTCATTGAGAAATAATAAGGTATATATATACATCATACGAGAATCAGTTTAGGTCCTAAAACAAAGCATATACATTGTCATTGCCTATTCATACTCCTGTATAAATGGAAAATACATTATCAGCAATTGACGATGGTTGACTGAGATGATTGAAGGACATTCCTGACTTTGTGCCTTGATTCACTTTTAATTCTTTAACACGTCCCGTTTTCAGAAAATTTCCTTAGCTGGTTAGAGGATAGAAACAATGAGCTTTCATCAACATCAAAAGGTTATATTGAATCCACTTCTTACCTTTTATATAATGCTCTTGCATGTAATAAAACTCATTTTATATGCTGTTTGCTCCAGGTTGAGAACAACAAAAGGCTGCCTTGATAATATTGGCTGTCAGTGAGTTACTCAATCAGGCTGTGGGAGACTCACTGTCATTGAGTGGTAGTGGAGGCTACTTAAAATATATGGGATGGTCCATGCTTAAATGGAATGAGCTTTATCATAATCTATCCAGCAAACAACTTAAGGTCAGCTTCTTCTTTAACTGTGGTTTTCTCACGGTTTCTCTACGGTGCAGGTAGATAATGTCTATATAGTTATCACGATATTTTCTAGATTCTAATTGAACTTTTATTTTTGTTAAAAATGAAATGTATTTTTATAAGATATAGTAGACAATAATATTTACCGCATAGCATAGCTTATATTTAAGAAGTTTTCTCCGTTTCTAACTTCTAGATATGTACACCAAAGTCCAAGTAACAAAGCAATTGATGGTGGTCTTTTATGGTATGATATGCCAGTGGTTGAAATATGATCTCTGATTGTGAAGTTGATTATTGGATTTGAGACAGAGAATCGCGAACTCTACATCATAACAAATTTTGTTTTTGGATCAATAGAAGACTAAAGAAAATGCACCAAAACTCAAAATAGTTCAGTAAATCAAAATCTACAGATAACATTCAAAATGATAAGAGTATACTTGAACAATTAAAGGGAATTAAAGCAATTAAAAAATTCCATCCGGATGGCAACTGTTGCTGTGCTCCAAATTCCCAAAGTTGTGGTTGTCAATCAAGCTTGGTATTCGCGTGCTATGTTTCCAAAGTCATTTTAGGTGGTTTGTGCTCCATATTTCCGTAGATCTTTAAAATGGTCAATCATTCCCCCTTTTCATAATAATCGCATCATTCCCCAAATTAAAGATGTCCGCATCAGATTTCCAGAACCTGCTCGATTGTCAAGATTATGGTAATACGTTTCAGAAAGAACAATGTTGTCCTTATCTTTCATAAACCTTGAAAAACCTACAACTCCATTTATTTTAGCTATCTTACAGCCTACTTATTCGCTGTTGAGAATTCAATTTCTTTACATCACTCTTTATCTTCAGGTAAATGTCGTTGACAGAACTGCAGTCATTACTGCAAACGCAGAAATTGTGGTTCTGAAGCCTGTTGGTATACAAGAAGCCATTAACGCTGAAACAGGCAAATTCATTCAGTGGTATATTAAAAATCTGTCATGCTCTGTCCATGGAATCTGATATATTATTGGTCTTGTGAATTGTTTCCGGTCTCAATCAATCCATTTTATAAAGTCAAGACACGCTTCATCCAAATAATTTAGAAGTTGAGTTGACCTTTTATTTATTATAATTTTTGGAGCCCAATTGCACAGTTCTAAAACCTGTGTAAATCTTTTCAGGAAGCATTCAATCCAATGCTCTCTTCTGGGGCTAATTCATTAATGTTGTATAGTTTATTTTTGATGCATACATGGTACAAAGTAATGCACAACCCATCTGGCTTATGTTTTGGTTTATTCCAAGATAAATTCTATGCTTTAATTTCAGTTATGCTACTGTTCTGGTATTTAAAAAGGCTATTCATAGAACTGGACCTATAATTTGATCCAAAAACTATATACTGCAAATTTGAACCTAAGACTTGAAACTTCTTCTCGCATCCTGAAAGGTGGGATTTGAACTTCTTTTTATCTTAATCTTCCTATGCAAGTTCTTTAAGATAATAAAGGGGTAAGTTACTGAGGCATTTTTCATCTGGAAAAAAATATTTCGTTTCAGATCACTCATAAAAAGTTTCTTTACTTCTTGGATTAATTAATATTTCTGTGTACCAAACCTTATGAAGCAAATGAACTCTAATACTTTGAGAATTCTTCTCTGGATGTATCAACATTTGGTGACTCTAGGGTCACACTTGATTGTTACTTCTACTTATACAACCTGATATTTTCAAATTAAGCTATTAAATTATCTTCCAAGAAAAAGCAAAAAACTTTCAATCATTGACTGCTAGAACTATTACCTGTGAATCATTTTTGGAATTTTCAATTATTGGAACACTCGCTTATACCGTATTAGAATGTCATCTGTCATTAATTAGAAAGGTCAGGTCACACTAGAGTTGTTGATCTCTACGTTTCTTAAAGTTGCCATTGGTGGGTTTCACAAGCTTAGGAAACCACACCATTAACTATGAGCAAATACCATAAGAAAAGCTTACGGAAAAATATATCTACTTCTCTTGAAAAGAAGTCTTGTTCTTGAAGAAAGAACAAGTTGAAGTAGTGAGAAGTTCTAATTGTTCATTTTTGGCTTTCTGATCCAAGAACTTCTGAAAAGGCAAAGTGTTCTAAGTTTTCTTTAAAGAAAAGACAGACTTTGAAGAGAAGAAATATGCTCAAGAAGACTTCCCTTTGTAAAAATGAGATATCTTCCCAATACAAGCTCAAGTGAATGAGACATGAATGAATGACATTGTCATATATTAATATCCATTGAGCAAATTAGTTGCGATTCAAGATAAGATTTAAGTTGTCAAGAATGTCTTCGATGTACTAAAGAAATCATATTATTACATACCATTATTAGTTTATTATGATAAACCTCTTCACATATTTTACACATTTTTTCCCCGAAACAATGGACTAGTGTGTGGTTTCATACTTGGGCATCCTCTTTTCGCCATATGTCTTTTCTGCTTCCCATCTCACCTGCAGCTGTTTCATTTTTTTTTTTTTTTCCCCCAATAAAACATTAACATCATGTTACTGGAAACATGAGTAAAATACGAGGAGAATATGTATAAAACCCGAGCACAAAGAGTATAATCATACCTTCCATAACAGTTGAATGAATTTCTTGTGTATCGAAATGCACCTCTGTGGAATCAGTAATTGTATTTTCACTACTGGAAGTTGAGGTGGAAGTGTTATTGTTACTGTGTTTGAGTAAAGCACGCCACTGATCAATATACACTGATCGATCAGGAGATAGATTAGGAATTTCATGCTTCTGAAGAGCTTTTAGAATGCCTTGAGTTTCACCCAGTAGGCAAGCCGCTTCCTCCACACTAACCACTCGTTCTTCTATGGTGCTGTTGTAGCACTTCATGAGGATAACATGAGGTAAATTGGTGAGGCACGCAACGAATATATCTGCAACCATGACGGACAATTTGTCAAACACATGGGCATCAGATTGCGAATGGCTGCTTTCTTCACAGTCCAACAGCAAAGTGCGGCTAATTTTGTACATTGAATTAGCAACTACAACATCTTCAGATAAATTGACAAGACTTTCCTGCGTGTTTCTCTCCATTTTATTTGTGAATTCCTTTACAGTTTCCTCACTTTTGTATGACAGAGTTTGAAGAGTTTCCATGTTTGAATTTGATAGACGTGACACTTTTTGAAGATCTATATCTAACCACCTGTGCTTCAATTCAGTTCCAGCCCACACAAAATCTGCAGCATCCCTGCTGCTCACCAATTTCTTTTCCTCATCCAGACTTTCTTCCACAAGGCGCGCGTACTTGAAACCTTCAATCACGCTCTGTAACCTCTTATTCTTCTTCTGCTGTTCAATATTTGGAAGAGCAATCATGATACTTGTTAGGTTTACTATGGTCAGAGTCCAACAATTTGGAGGTTCTTTACCAAGTATAGATGGGACTTGATCACTCTCAAAATCCATTACCCCCTTTAAGCTGGTTGAATTCTCTAAAAGCTCTATTAGATATCTAGGATGATTATTTGCACCCACTGTTATGAACGAATTGATAGAGGTGTGGATGAACTTCAGGTAAATATCTTGCATTGCCTCACCTTCAACAAGTACAAGAAAGTTTCTTAGATCCTGCTCGAAACTAGGTTCCTGTGTTGTTTCATTGGGATTGACTGAGGCCTCATATTCCCCTAAGAGTTTCTTTTTCAGCCTCTTAAACAACAAGATGATCAATGGTGAAAGAAATATTAGCAAGAAAGGGGACATGATTACTAAGAACAGAATGGTCAAGACAGCTAATAAAATTGACATTATCACAAGTAATTTGTTCATCATCACAATCCCTACTTGACCTCCTATGCAAATATTGAGAAGTAGATTTCTAATGACATGTATGATTTTTCTAAGCTTTTGGTCACGAACTTGTGAAGGTGGGGGTCTCTTTTTCCAGTTCACTAGTATTTGAATCCCATAGGTCTGCATGTCAAATGAAATAACTGAGGCAAAAAATCCCCGAACATGCCTTATATTAAGAATTAAAGCACGTATAAATCTTATGAAAGAGGTTAGAAAGCAAAGAGACACTGCCAACACTTGAGTCACAAAAATTAATTTTACTGACCACTTATAACCTGATGAATCCTCCCAACCAAAAGGATATATGCTTGTTTCAATCAACAGGAGCATAAGAACAACGTTGGAGATCAATCCAAGAATGTAGCAGGCATCAGATCGCGCCATCACATATTGGGGGCTACTAGTTCTGGCCATCACCCAGTATTTCTTCAAACGTAACTTTAACTTTTCAAAGTCAAATAATTGGTTCCCATGTAGTTCCTCTCCTAATATTCTTCCTTGAATTGTATTGTACTTCTGCTCCAAATGCCTTTTACTAGCAGAAACCGTTAAAGCAGAGGAAATAAGCACAATAAAAGAATACAAATTTAGAAAAACAATCACAGCATGGAGTACTTTCATCTTATGCTTAATCACTCCTGTGAACAATTGGATGACCACATTTACTGTAAGTGTCACTATGAGGATACCCAAGGCTGTCAAGTTCGTCAATATTTCTGGGTCACTCATGGATCCTAGAGAAGGCATAAAATGAATGGTCGAAGCGCACAACAAAGCAGTGCTACTAAATTTTGCAAACTGGTCCATGGAAGCGGGCATAGACGTCGTTGAATCCATTGCCAACTTCACTGCAACAGCTATCACGGTCAAGGAAGTAGCATTTAGAGCAGAATATTTGCACGGGAACCATAATTTTCTACGGCGGAGAGAATGGATTATATCAGCAATTAACGCAAAAACCCATACAAGAGTTGCTGCTGCAGCGTATAGGCCTATCCACGGCATTGGTGCACTAGAGTCAACCATTTTGTACAATAATTGTGCTGCTTTCTTCTTCCAACTTCGCCAATTCTGTTCAAGGGGATGCTGCAAGGGGAGGCTGGATTGGAAACTTCCTTGTAATTTCAATGCACAGCAATTGTGGAAAGAGCCAATAAAAACAAATGTAATCAAAACATTCAACCAATGAATCAAGACCACGGGTGGACCTGGGTTTGCGAACCAATGGCCCATCTGAGGCCAATGATTTTACCAGTATGTCTTGGGTAGTCTGCCGACCCGTGGCAAGCTCCGTTTGGGCATTTTTTACTTCCTTTATTATTATTATTATTATTATTATTATTATTATTATTATTATTATGTTTGTTTGTTTTTCTAGTCTTTTTGAATTTGTTTTAGAAGGAACTCTTCTAAAAGGTAGAGTACTACATAAATGTCAAAAGGGAATGCGAAAAAGGGATCGACAAATTGAAAATTAGAGAGAAACACATCGAAGAAAATTAAGAAATCAAGTTACCCAGACTATGGTTATAAGGACTGATTTGGACAAAAAGAAAATATTGGTGTAAGATTCATCCATTTTTGTACATTTTCATTCAAAACCCGGTAATGTATTTAATAATAATTCTTTGTTTCTCTTCATTTAGGCCAACAACAAAGTTATTGAGAGACTGTAATTCAATTTTCAAGATTCTAGTTCTCAATTTCATGAGTTTATTTTATTTATAGCATTTAATGCTGGAATTACTTGGCCAATAATCTTTGATCTTATGAATTTATAACGAGTCGAAAGGTAGGTTATAGGCTTGACCGCGTTGTAAAATTCAGGAAATACTTTTCCTAGTTAATACAATCGTCACATGAAGTCTTAGAAATTTAATTTGTTTAACTAGTGTGTATCCTGATTCACATAAAAATATGAAATTAATTTAGTTAAGTAGATTCAATTTAAACTCTAGAGAAGCAAATTGAATACATTAGAAGAATCCGACAAACATTACATTAGTAATTAATCTTGATTAGCAAATTAAAGGGGATCAACAAATAAAATTGTATGTCCCAACATCCACATTTCTAACTTCTATTAAAAAGGGGAAGTAGTTGCTACTGTAGAAGAAATAGTAAACCAATCCCAAGGTACTGTACAAGAGAAAAAATGGAGCCATTTTTTTTTTTTTTGTTTGTTTAACTTTTTCATTCTCCATTTTCATACGTTATGGCCATGTCTCTGGAGATGCACAATAGTGTTGAATCCCATTCTTTCATCCCATCCCGATTTTAACAGCTTCAAAATTATTTCAATTTCAACACGCAAGGTTGCTCAAGATCGATGTAGGCAATTTGTAATTTCAATTTGGTAATTTGATCAATGTAGACATTTTCTTAATAGAGTGCATGGGAACCTAGGCTGCTTGAGAGAGGGAGCTTGCGAGTGTAGTAGTGCAAGAAAGAAAATAAGGGAAGACAATTGTATAAAATTATAATGCAAATTTTGTAATAGTGAGATGCATTATTCACTACCTTGAATAACCTATGGTCTTATTGTTTTTTCTCAAGCATGCAGCGTTTACTGATTTGGATGCCTTCACCTCATTCTTTGGCGTTTATGATGGTCATGGGGTAAGTTTTTCTAATTCTGCTGTTGTTATATTGCATACTAAATTAGGGTGCATGTCATTTACCAGGGCACGAATATTTTGAATACAAATTGACATTCCTTAGCATATGCCTATGATTTAAAAGATACGACTAGGCAAAAGAAAGATGAAGTGTTGACTGTAGGCATTTGTATACCATAATCTATGTCATGAGATCTTGTACTCACAAGTCACAATGCAGATCCATTAAAGAGTATAATTAGTTTGAATTGAAATAATGTTTTGCTGTAAATCAAGTTTTGCTACCCAATTTCTTTGTTGTCTGGTTAGTGCGTTATTGTTCTCTTATCAATGCATTGAATTTCACAGGTAAGGTGGTTGCCAAATTTTGTGCTACATATCTTCATCAGCAAGTTCTCAAGCATGAAGCATATTTTACTGGTGACATAGGTACTTCTATCCAGAAAGCTTTTCTCAGATCATTTTCTAATCTTTGGTAGTCTTTAAGAGTTTTTGTTTGTGTTCAGTGTATGCATATTTTCTTTTAAATGATGAATTCTATATAATAAGTCTTCTTTGCATGACATAACTATTTTCAGCAGCTTTATCTTGAGATACTTGCAACTTACTTTAAGAGAAGCAAACTTATTTTGATTTAGGCAATTGTGTGGAAAGCTATTTCTTCCAATTGGATTGTTGAACTTAAAATTTATTGCAATTAGTTGTTTTATCAATTGTTTTTTTAATATATATATATATATATATATATATAAACTAGAAAAAAAAACTCTGCACTGTGCGGAGCCATCTCTCCGCACAGTGTGGAGAGTTGGAGAGAACACTCCGCACTCTCCGCACTCTTCGTACAGTGCGGAGAGTTCTCTAACTCTCCACACTCTTCGCACGGTGTGGAGAGGTATATCATCGATTTTATCTAATAATTATAATTTTTTTAATCGACAATTTTGGGTTTTTGTGTGAATAGAGAGATATATTTCTGGTTTAATATAAATTAAAATGCTTATTAGCTTGTTAATTCATTTATGTCTCTTGTGTTATCTCATGCATCAACAATCTTGGTAGAAATATTGATTCCAGACCAGTTTGACCAGGGAAAAATAGAATGAAAAAACAAGCAAAGCAAATTCCAATGATTCGAGATCTGCAGATAGCGCATTGAGCTAAGCAGCAGAAATGAGAGCCGATAACATCGTTTAATAATCAATATGGATACAATCATCCAAAACAAGAACAAATTCATAACCATGAAATCAATTCGTACCTGATCAATGTATTTCACCAACTACATGAATTATAATGTATTAAAAAAAATTTCAAAATGGATAACAATTATAGCCAAAATAAGCTCAATCAACAGCAACAATCAAAATATCTAGCAATAAAATTTAAATCAAACACAATAAATCTTCCAAATAACAAAAAACACAATATTTTATAATTTTTCCACCTCAGAATCTGAGTTTAGAGAAAAACCATCGATTCTTGTCAGTCTTGAACCTCTCTTCCAATCTGGCTTTGATCTCCTTACATGCCGTCACCTTCTTGTCACGTGAGAAGAACGATTCAGCAGCGAAGATGTCCTTGAGGTCGACGTCTAGCGTATAGCGCGTAGGCATGATATGGTTATAGTTGACGACTTTGACAAAAGCCTTCACACGCGACTTCTTGGCCTGCTTCTTGGCGGAGTCCTTGCGGATGACCTTGCTAGGGTACTTGGCAATACCGGCGACCAATTGTTGCGGGGTCCCCGCACCAATTGTGCGGGGACTCTGCATGAAATTGGTGCGGAGTCCCTGCGCACGAAATTGGTGTGGGGACTCCCCGTATAGTCGTGCGGGGCAGGGAATATTGAATCTTTTATGGTAGTTGTGAATTATTATTATTATTTTTTTTTTACAGCGACGCTGATTTAATGGGTCATTTATAAAAAAAAAAAAAATTATTCCTTTTTTAAAAGCCTTACAAGGATAGAGGATCTACCAAAGGCTATTGGTAAAAGGAATTCGTTATCTTCTACACTGTAGTATATATGATGATATGTCTTGTTGTCGTTGCCCAAAAGTTCTTGCTTCAATTTAACTTGATATGGGGAGAGCAGAGAAAAGTTGTGGAATTGTGAGTTATATGTTCTGTGTGAGTTATATTAAAAAAATGAATAAGCATATAAGATTAGTTCAAAACTTCGTCTTCCTCTAGGTATATTTTGTTCCATGAATGTGGTCATCAAGGAATTTTACACTGTTGAATCTGAAAAGATAAATTGCCTATCTTTTCTTTCATCTCGGGAGAAATACGATCGGTAGGGGCTAATTCAAACCCCTCAGTCTCGGTAAAGTCCATCTTGTTGCAATAGAAATGAACAAGAACAAATAAGTTTTAGCTAATGTAATAAAGATACTGATTATTGTTCCAAAAACTTTACCTCTTTCAAAAAGCTCAGGAACGAATATGTACGGAATAGAAAGATTCCAACCCCCGGGTAGAGACCAAAGATCTTGAGCGACCGATCCGGCAGAACAACTCAAAAGATAAAGAAGTATCGTTAATTTCTTCATGCTCGTTCCAAGTTTGAAGTACCATTTGGACAAATAAGAATCCGATTTTTTCGTATTTTGACTTTTCTACCTCTTGTTTGAAAAAAAAAATCGGATTGTATGTGAGAAATTTTTTGGAATATTGCAGATTAGAAATTTTACCATGACCAGTTAATGTTTTCACCATGACAAATATTCTTATTTCAATGAAGAGATCAATCAGAACAGTCCAAAGAAGAAGAGGCATGTCTTCTTTATTGTAGAATTAATTTTCATCTGCATCTAGCCTTTTGCAGACGTATAAATGAATTAAATTCTCAGATGTAGGTTGGAACAATCAGGAGATCGTGAATCCTGTAAGCGATGTAACTGTAAGAAATCAAAACAAAACTGTACATTCTTTATTTTCTATCTCGCAATGGCATAAATGTACACACTATGAGCCCTATTCAATTTTGATTGGACTTCTTGTATTTTGTCCGAGACTTTCCATAGGGGTAAATCTATCATACTTTATGGACCTTATAGAATGGTGATTGAACTCTCATGAACTCGATGTCTTGTTATTTCCTTGTTGTTTAGTCTTAAGAAGTCTACTTGTTGTTTGGTATTATTATAGTCATTTTTGGCTAATTGAAATGACTATATGTCAAATTTTGGCTTGCCTACTGCATTTAGTTCTACTGTTAAACTCATAAAGTGATTTATTAAATGTGAAGTCCTTGATATGCTTGAACTTTGATGGTTAAATTTTCACAAAGATTCTCTCTTATTGCTTCAACAAGCCTGTCCAAGAGGACACTGTCCTTGCAACTCGCAAACAGATTGAATTTAGAAATCCTCTTGCTTTTGTTCCCAAAGTGATTAGGAGCTCAGATTATCTATTTGAAGCAAGGGTTAGCCAATGAATTCTTGACTCATGTTCTGCTCACCTGGTGCTTACTTTCATTTAAATATTATCTTTATTATTCATTGTAGGATGAGTCCAGCAAAACTTCTACTTCAGCTCAACATAAGAGCGGATGCAATTAAGAAAAATCTGGTTGCCTGAAGAAATATTGTGATCGCTGTCAAGTTTCTTTTCATCTTTTCTGAGTATGCGAGCTTTTCTTTAGCTTGTGGCCCTGTACGATAAGAAATTATCTTTCTATTGAAGAGTGGTGTTGGATGCTCGGTGAGTGTGGTTTTACTAGTCTCGGTGTTATGATTTTGGAATTTTATTTTCCTTCATGAGTTGGGCTTTTGTTTCACAGGCACAGGAGCTGAAGTTGTAAGATAAGAATCTGATGTTGGTATACTTTGTTTAATCTTTCAGCTTCCTGGCTTCCGTCAAATTGTCAACAAAAGATATCTCTTTGGTCTCTCCCTCAACATTTGCATACATCAAATATATTTGCATCATTTTTTAACCTCAAGATGATTTTTGGAAATTTATTTCAATTAATTGTCTTCAATGTTCGAATTGTGAACATAAATGCAAGTGACGAATTCAATTGAATTTTATGATTACATGATTTTTTAAATATATTTTCTGATTACTCGTACTAGAAACTAATGATTCCCATGCAATTCATACATTTTTCAAGTAGAAATTGAATTTCCTTGTTACTGACACAGTAGATGGACCAGATAGTTTTCCAAAAATGCATTCGAGTAACGATGAATGCTCGAATGCAAGAGGAAATAATGGAAAAGGGGGAGATATCAAGGAAAGGAATGATTGAGCTGATGAGGCCTATGATAGTAAAAGTTGAGATATTTGGCCAAAACATCTTCACAAGTTCCTTAGGTAGAATTTCATGTGCATTTTTGTGATCATATTTGAAACATATGAATTAATAATTGTTCTTTAAACTAAGTTTATAAGTCTTAACATCATTTATTAAATATTGGCAAATAGCCCGCTTTATATTCCTATTGTCATAGGTGCGCTAAATGTCCTTTAAAATAATACAACCCGTGCATTGCACGGGCAGGAAACTAGTATATATTAAAAACTCGAATTCGATTTATCGCGTGCATATTAGATAAAGTTAGTATAATTAGAATAATTTAAATAAACAATCACCAAACTTTATTCTTTGTTTTTCATCATTTAAAATATAGAGTAGTAAACTAAGTAATGACTTATAGACCTCGTGGGAACGATGTTCAGTTTATTGGTATACTATATTACTTATTACGATACATACACTTACGGGATATAAAATCGACAACAGTAAGCTAATGAATAAAATGTGATACTAAAACAAAATCAATTACAAATTAACCAATAATAGACTGCCACCTGTTTTTTTTTACCCTAAATGACTCAGTTATCTCAAAGCCTGGAAGATACTTATAAATACTCCTGCCTAAGAGAAGAAAAGCATGCAAAATCAAATGTTTCCCTATCAAAGGTCATTTCCCCTCTTGCTCTGATATAAAAATCAAAGGTCATTTCCCCTGGCTATGTAAGGAATTTGTTGATCAGATTTCTATAATCAACAAGAATATAATGAGTTCAACTAATGATTGCAATAGATTTACTGCCTAAAATACCTTTTTTTTTCTCTAGGAATCTTTTGACCCAGTCAATGTTGTTGAACAATTAAAAGAAAACTAATAAAAAAATCAACGAACTTTAGATATCATCTTCCTACCAATAAATATTTCTTAGAGAAAGTCTACTAATTTGGTAAGATTTTCTACACTTAATTAATTCGTTTTAAAAAGTCTGCACTTTAAATTACTACGACCAAGAGTATGTAAGTATATTTCTATTGTCTTTTCTACTAAAGGTCTATTTCTAAAAAAAAATGTCTAAATAGTTCTATTGAAATTTCTTTTATTATTTTCTCTTATAATCTTTGCTCATTATTGTCTTTCTTTACAATCTTTAGGATCTTCTATCAAGAAACTCTGACACTGAGAGATAGAGAATTCAGTGATTAGTTTCTTGATCTATAAAGAGGGGTTACCTTTATTTCTATCTAGAGCGGATAAAATATGGCTTCCTACAACGACTAATCTTCCTATCTCTCTATTTTCTAAACAAGTATTAATATATTCGTTAAAGCTTTCCAATGAACAAGTAAGGCAGTGTAATTTTAAGGCATAAAATATTAAAACTTTAAAACGATATGTTTGTAATAGCCTTCGAGTACTTTACCATTCAACAAATTAATTTCTTCATACTTATTTTTTTAACTCTCAGTTTTTTTCTTGACCTTTTAAAGAAGGCTTAAGACTGTAGTCAAAAAGATTTTCATCATGTTTAAAAAAACTTAAACAAACTCCCACTATTGGGACACAAATTAGCCAACTTAACTCAAAGGATTACTTTATCTTTTGACCATGGAATCTAGAATAAAGAGGTTAAGAGCATTAAAAAAAAAAATATATATATATATATAATAAAATTGATGTCAAAATTAACAATTAGTTTTTATAACATATTATGTGGAACCCACAACTTTTATCAAAATTCCAATCACACATTTCGTAAATTTTTTATTGAAAAATTGATTTTTAACGAAACCAGAAAGGGGCTAATATGCATGATCAATTCTACATTTATAACCAGGTGTTAATGAACTCACAAAAATGTAACATCAATAAAACGTAAAGAAGTAACTAGAGTGCAAACTCCATCTAATCATAGGTACAATAAAACTAGAGGGAATTCTAATTTGCAAATATGGCTTTGGATTATGATACTACAATTGAAACCAAAATCTCAAGTTAACAAACTAAAGAAAGCGTAAGGACGGGTTTTTAACAAGGATCCACGTAGCGAGTCAAACTTATATTAATCATGCACGTACGAAATCTAGGATCAACTCAATCAAGTATATATTATCATCTTCATTTGTAGTCTCGCTACAATATTGCAACTATTAGATCTTTTAAGATATTCTCTAAAGGTCAGGTGGCAACTCTTTCAAACCCGATATTATTTTGGATTTAGGATATTCTCCTGGATCATTGAATCCATTTGGTCATTACGTGCTTAACATGCATGTATATTTTTCTGTTAGTGATACTCGATAGTGTTAGGCGCTTAGAGCTAGGGGCAGTCCAGAGGCCATGCAAGAGGTGAGACCGTATAAGGCCATATAATTTTAGGGGAGCCATACGCATGTGATGTGTTTTATATGAAGTATATATTTATATTTTTTTTAGTTTTAGTTATTATTTTTAAGTATATGATTCAACCCAGATTATATAGTCCATTTAAACTCCATACCAAATAAATATTG